CAATCAAGACTCGTTGCCAGGTTCCTCTCGGTCTTGGCGTTTATTCCGATGGTGTATTCAGGGTACGGGTTTAGTTTTTATGAACATGCATCACGTAATGATTTCCAACACGTATCATTTGCTTCTTAACTATATTTAATCTTTTTGCAGAAAAAAAATTTATGTAGTATAGTTATTCGAGTCATCAAGCTGCTAAGCGTTTACGACGACATTATTTGTGTGATCAAGAATTTTTTACTTGTCGAAAGGTTCGCTGGAATGCTGTGTTGAGCAAATGGATCACGGGCTCAGAAGATGGAACTATTCGTATCTGGGTAAGGTCATCGTGTACTGTGTGACTGACATCTTGAAACTGTATATTTTGAAGCAGGTGCAATGGAGCACCAGTAAGTGTGAAAGGACCTAATAACCTCTTACTGACCGAGTGTGAGAGCCATACTGGGTAATATTGGCCTGAGGCAGTCGTAGCAGTTTGGACCGAGTGCAGCGAGGTCCGTGACAAACGACTGAGGGCTAATATTCCCCAGTACGGCTTGTGCAAGCGAGGTATGGAAGTGGTTTGATATAAGGCACTCGCAAAAAAAAACTTGTTTGATTTGAAATTGCCGGCTTTTTGGAGCAAAAATACACGGCTTATGACCGTTTCCGTGGAAAAGGTCCGTATGGCAAAATCCCGACCAGCTAAGAACCAATCAGAACGCCGAGATTTACCTCAGGACTACCTTGCCACATAATAAACCAGGGCTATGACTGATCTTGAAAACTCGCCCCACTCTCTCTTAATCAACAAAGCGCGAAATTAAATCAATGGCGACTCGGCAACTGCTTGTGAGGGCTTTTAAATGTTTTTACTCTGAGTTCTCATTGGCTGCTTGTGATATTTTCCTTTGTGCTGATTGGCTATTGCGATTACTCTGGTTGTGAGATTATCATAGTTCATCGAAAACCGCTCTGATTTATTTGTACTTTTGATGTTGTTGCTGATCGCAGAGAGGAGATGGAATGGGGTGCGATGTGGTGCTCACTGCTCAAGGAGCTGTTTCAGCTCTGTGTATTGATCAAGTGAACGGCTGTATTGTGGCTGGAGTCCAAGAAATCATCAGGTAAAGATTTCGTGACATGTATGACAAAGATATCTTGTCAGAGTGGCCGTTCGTTGTCACGCAAACAGGTAATGGAAACGTGCAAGAAACATATTGGATGTCTTTTTGTAGTGTCGGAACTGTGTCACGCAAACAGGCCATGAGAGTGTGTGGCGAATGTTGCAGCAAAATTACAGGGGCAAATGCCACCCAATTTTTTTTGTTTCATTTCCAGGGTTTATGATCCAGACACACGCAAGATTGTGCAGAAGAATCTTGGACACAGCGATTCTGTGCGATGTATTATTCATATTCCTGAGAGGAGTCAGGTATTTATCGTTTTTTTTAACGGTTGTAGTTATTAGCTTGCTAGGAACTGTATGGTATGATTTTGAGAATAGGGTACAAACTTCTGGCGTGGAAATGAGGTTAAGAATTCTTTGCCTCAATTTCATGGTATTCAGGCCCCAGACCCCTCGCATGTCAAATTTTGAATGTTCTTGGGTATGCTTTCAATTTTTATTGACCCATTACCTTACGTTGTTCTTTCAGTATATTTCCGCTTCTTGGGACAAAACTGTAAGAATATGGAACGCATACAAGAAAAGTGAGTTTCTTGGTTTATGCCAATTGATTTCGTTTGTTACCACATGAAGGCCAATGTACCTTGGAACCTTGCAATTGCGTTAAAAAAAAAAGGGAAAAAAAAGCGTCGCGTGACATTTTACTTTATGGTAACTTTCAGCTCGCAAAAAGCCTGCGAAAGAGATGACAGACTTTCCTGACTCAAGCAGTGGTAGTTTTTAGTGTTATCTGAACGTGGTGAAGAACTATCCGGGTAAGCCTCCTTTGAGTTCACGTCAACTGGACAGTCCATTATCTTTTATATAAATCGTTTCTTACATTAACTGTGTGCGTCCAGACTCTTCGTGTCAGCTTTGTCTTTGAACGCTGGATATAGTGTCACGCTGTCTAACTGTCACGCAATACTTTTTTGATCTGACGATGTAATGAACCGCAAAAGACTTGTGTTAGGCAAATTTTTAAAATTTCACTTCTTTTGTGTACGTAACGCCATAAGAGTGGAATGAGAGAAAAGGTGTATAAAATTTTCATATATTTCCATGTATAAAATTAAGAAAAACTTAAATGATATATTCATACATTTTATTGTAAAATTTATTTAAATGCGATATTTATGGCTTAAAATTTCTCCGTATGTGGAAGAATAAAGGCATTGGAAATTCAGTATGTTGTGACCCTCGTGGAAAATTAATGATGCCTCCAGGATAAAAGTCTATTTTCTGAACTTCAATACTCTTTGCAGCAGACTTGTGCGTCACTCAAGGCAGTGAAAAAACACTGTGTTGTCTTTATTGGCGTGAAATGACACAGTCTTGGGTTGTAGTTATGTCACAGTCCATTGCACCGTTATACTGCGGTGTAAAAATTTAGGTTATATTTATGAAAACCCTGTCTTTCGGTTGTTGGTCCCCTCTGTCCCGTGACACCAGCAAGACAAAAAATTAGCTGTTACAACCCCTAACAAACTATTACGTTGAACGGATTCTGTATTTCTTTTCTCAAGAAAAACCCTCATTAAATCAATACAAATCAGTTTTGACGTCTAAGTGCCTCGACTGGACATAGTTGTGAACAGATAGGTGTCTTTGCTATTTTCGCTGACTTGACTTCGATTGAAAGGAATGTGAAGTTTCTCTTTGATCCCATTTATATTTTTTAGATTAATATTCACTATTTGTAGAGTTTGTAGGATTACGTCCAGCACAATTACGCGTGAAATGCCCAATACCAATTGATTGTGTTATTAAAATGAAAGAAACTCGGACTTGGACATTCTCATCTCAGGTTAGACATTTAATTTTTTTTAAAAACTTCCGCTTAAAAATTGTTTCCCCGTATCACTATAATTGACGGAGTTTTCGTGTTATTCCATTTGCTACGACCTTTGTATCGATTAGAGTCAAAATTATAAACACGGCTAATATTGTTATTTTTTGGTCGAAACATGTAAAGCTTACAAAGTTAGCGTTTCCTGAACAATCAATATGAACTGTTTAATATTCCTGTCTTTGTATAGTTCAATATTTCATCGGTATCAAATTCGTTTTAGTTTTCCTATACGTTCCCCGTTTTATTCAAGGTAATGTGGTAACCATCCGTTCAATTTATTTTTGTGGAAAGATCATTTATTCTTGGTGTAACTCTTCCCAAAAATTTTTAAAATATTCTATCTATTATTGATAGTTTCGTTTCTAACTCAGAACATGGATGAAAGGCATTTCCTAGTTGTTGTTATGGCTCAAAAGTCCTTTCATCACTCAGTCACTCTGTTAAACTTGCGGCGACTGAAACAAAATTCAAACGAGGTGTCGCTTTGGGCGTATGGCCACCTAGCCTACATGCAGCCGTACCCTCCCCACCCCCCCAAGGTGAAATGGAGGGAAGATTCCCTCGCTTCCGTTTCACCTTGCGGGGGAAGGGTACGGTTACAGGTCGGCTATTGGCTACCAAGGTGTTTGGGACTATTTTACGGTTCGCAATCACGAGAACCAAAGTGACGGTTAATTAACGGAGTTTTATTGTCGATGAAAATCAGAATACTACGAGCTAAAACAACAAGTGGCTAAAAGCGACCGTAAACTGAAATAATACGGTGAATTCCTATCAATCGAGGCGAAAACTTCCGAAATATAAGATAAAGGCTTGTAAAACAAATCTAACTTAATAACAACTCAAAATGGCGATAAAAATATAAAAGGCAAAAAAAAACTACGTTAAGAGATTCACGCAAACAGTCAATAGCCCAAGCGTTGTCAAACTAAAAGTTGGGCATTCAGTCGTAAACGCCAGGCGTGATTTTCGCCACTTATCACAAAGCAATTAAAAAGGTACACAGTACAATAGTCTTTATCTAATCAAAATAAAAGAAAACTAAACCTTAGTAAAATAAAAGAATAAACTTACATAGCGGTTCCCCTTGCGCCAAAGGTTACAAAGTTACAAGGGGAGCAAAGGTCAAGATCCTTCGAATTACTAAATAAACTGAAGAAAGGACGCCAAGGTCGTCTTTTATATGCGCGTGGGACGCAAAAAGGACGCTAAAGCGTCGGGTTTCAAGAATAATAGATGAGCAAATAAACATTAATAAACATTGTAACGAAGATCGTAACTAAGAGGAAAAACGTTATCAAGGTAATTACTAATCAGTAAAATCAGTTAGTATCCGTAACACGCTCCGCCACTCCTCTCTTCGGTAAGTGCGCTGACCAGCGCATAAGCATTTTGCATGTGCAGTTTCTAGGTGAGGCTCAACTGATAGCTGAGAATCGGTCAAACTTTAACAGACTGCTGATAAAAAAGACCGCGTATTTAACTGACTGCTGAGATCTAAGAGCAGTAAATTTCACTGAAGGATGAAAAATGGGCTGAAATTAAGACTTTGTGGATTTGGTTTGCGCTCTTATTGAGCATTTGACGCGCCCTGATAAAAATACTGTTCGAGGCCAATAAGCCGTCGGACATTTCAGACATTTCAGTGTTTTTAGGACCTCTCTTTAAAACTTATCGATCCAGAATTTGAATATTCATCGGAGAAGCAGTTGTGGTTAATGAATTCACACAGGACGCCGTGGTTTCTCTGCACTGTTCAAAGTTCACACACACACGCACGCACACACACACACACACCACGCTGTAACATAGCTAATGTGGTTTGTACAATTAGAAGATCTTCAAATTGCGATACCCATGATCTGTAGTTAAAAAAAAAGCTTACGAAAGATTTAGATAAGCCTTTCCAAGCATTCTCATAAAGGTACTTTCACTCTAATTAGATATTACTCAAAATTTGATAGTAGCTTACGCAAAGTTCTATTACGATCACGTAGAAAGAAGCTAGCTCTCGTCTCCACCCTGGACGGGCAACTGTATGTCATACTTTCTTTTAAAAATTAACCATCTTGCTTGAATAGCTTCCCATAAGTTGATCACCATCCGTACAATTTGCAGAAGAAGGTACAAGATGACGAAAGCTACGGAAACCATAGATATAACACTCAGAATTACCGCCTCAGACATCAAAAGAATGGAGAAATACCGTTGATTGATACCACTGACGTCACTTCTTGCCGACGCAAGGCCCACGTTTAGTACTCCTATAATGACCAAGATTGTCAAGGAGACGATTTCGGTGACGTTGGCACGACATTGGGCGAAGGGCTTCATGTATATGTGATGCAACAAGTAAAAGAGGCAAAGGATTGTCAGACACACAGAACGCATAAGCGCATGTTCTAACAGCAACCAACTAATCACAATTATGAGGAATCGACGACCAATGAGAATGCTCTCCCAGTAGATCCTTCCGTTTGATTGGTCACCTTGTGGCTTTGTAAATGGACCGCAGAGAACCTCAAGAAGTGACGCTCTGATACTTGTGGAAGAATTTGTGTCACGTTCTTCCTCGTGAACTGAGCCGGCAGTTGAAGGGAATTCTTCTTCCTCAGGAAGTGACGTTTCTATATTAATGGAAGAATTTGTGTCACGTTCTTCTTCGTGAACTGAGCCGGCAGTTGAAGGGATTGCTTGATAGTCCGCTCTCTTGGTTATTTTTTTCTTTACGTACTGACACAAAAGAAAGATGAGATAAGGAAAAGGTAGGATGCTGACCAGCAGAAATATCTTTGTTGAAATCTTGCCACGAAAGAGTTGCAGCGAAGCGAAATACAACGTGGGTATAAACGGAAACAAGTTTAGACCAAAGACGAAAAAAGCAGTATTCTGCCACCATTGGTAGCAAACGTACTGGGCATCGTGGTACCAGCGGTGCACTTCTTGAATGCTAACGCAGTGGATTAATCGCACTATTGTGCCAGTTACTGCTGAGTAACCTAGCAACACTGTTTCAAGGACAGCTCCAAAGTAAGGACCAGCTGGCGGAAAAGTTGGCCCACGCTTGCGTAGTTTGTTTAGACCGCTGTGTAGAAGATAAATAACTGGAATCCAGAAGAGAATGGTCATTACTGTCACCAAGGGGAACACTGATTTTAAACGTGGTCTGAAAATCGGCCAAGAACAAATCTTCCAGTTAGTATTGGCATATAGTTTTAAGTTCAAAAGATTAGTAAAGGGCAAGACAATCTCATTTCGCAATAGATTTTTGACCCCATATGAGGACACGGTCAATACTCCAGCCACTTGATAGAAGTAAAAGATAATCTTTAAAAAGCCATAGTTTGGAGAGACACTTTCTCTGACCGTGCTGTTAGGGCTGCCAATAACTTGGTAATTATCCTCTGCGCGTCTCCGAATGAACCATGTTGATTGTTCTCCCACTGCCTCAAACACCGGGTTTTTTATAACAAGATAAAAGGCAAACGATATTGTGAATGCCAAAAAAACAACCAAATACCAATGATGGGTACAGTCTTCCACTGGAACACACTCTGTTGTAAATAAACCTTCGACGAAATTCTGTTTACATCGTCCGCAAAGAATACCTGTCCTGTTGCCTTGGCAACCGGAATGCAGATAGCTATTGTTGTAATAGGAGCATTTGTTATCAACAGATGGCAAACAGCAGTAACCTTCTGGACAAAGCTGAAAGGAAACGCTGTCCTTATTTACAGGATAACCCCAAAAGTTGGGCTGAGCAGCGAGAGAAGATGAACAGTTTCCGCCAACTGGACAACGATAACAATTCACTAGTTCCTTGACACTGTAGCCACTCTGTTTGCCTCTACGGATACTGTAAGTTCCCACAGGACAACGCTCGGTACTGATCCAAACCAATTCTTTGGTCACTCCTTCGTGATAATTATATGTTTGTAGCCTTCGCATATTAAGCTTGGTGTTGACTGGTGATTCAATTTGCACAGAGTTGTCCAAGATACCCTTTCCTGCTCCTTCAACAACAACTATAGCTTTGCTGTCTGTACTAAAAGGATCCAAAATAAAGGAGCTGTTACGAATTTCGACGCTTTCAGATTGTGTTACGGCCAAAAATCCATTGAATGCCACAAAATATTTTGACTTTCCTCCCACATTATAAAGCACTTGAGATTCTGCCGACTGATTAAAGGTGTTATTCCAAATTGTCAACTTGCCTGAAAAAATGCGTATGTGCGAACTACCCACGCCTCCAAAGTTATCGGTAAAATTACAGTTTTGAATTTCAGTGGCGTAAACGTTGAGTAGTTCAAGGATGCATTTATCACCTCCAGAGTTGTTGCGAAATTCACTGTTGGTAATGATCGTACGAAATTTAGTATTGGATATGGCGGGTGGCGACGAAACAATACGTATTAGTCCTAAAGAGCCGAAATTATTTAGGAATGTGCTCTGTTCCAAGTGAAACGAGCAATTACTATGCAAGGCCCTTAAATGAATACAGATCAATTTATGACCCGTATAGCAGTTATTGTTCACAAATGAAACATTTTTTAAGTGGTACACCGGTTGGAATGCTTGCTCATCAATACCGATCGTCATTAAAAAGTAGATATTTTCACTTATCAAAGTGTTCTCCATAACAAAACTCACATTACTACCCAGAAGTCGCTCGTAGGGTGTGAAGTCTACTTGTATTCCACCGCCGGAATTTTTCTTTATTTTACATGAGCGTAACACGACGTAGCTATTGCCAGGATTAATCAAAATGTCAGACGTGACATGGGTAATGAGAGAATTGTTTACGTCCCGACTATTGTTAATAAATGTCAGGTTTTGTAAAGTTACTCGTGGCTGAGATGACTTAGGAAAGTGCAGTGTAAGGGTGCTGGTAAACTCCGAGGCCCAGTTACGGAAAAATTCACAGTTCAGAATTTCCACGTCCGAATACAGACGGCCCCCCTCACCATAAATGGCTCCGCTACTCTTTCCTTCCACTCGGTTATCTGTGAAAGTGTCATTGACGATTGATAAGTTACCCATGTGTGACATGTACAGAGCTACTGCGCCACCTCCACAAACAGTATCACTACCACATGCATTTCTCAACAGTTTATTACCACTGAATTCTGAGCTATGAATACATATCCAGTCAGAGTAATAGAGCCATTTAGAGAAACTTCCCACAGCTACAGCTCCACCTGAAAACCTTCCTTCGTTTCGCACAAACTGACAGTTCTTTATGTCCACTAAAAGCGACCGCAATATGTTGATAAATGCGCATGCTCCGCCACTTCCGCCTTTGTTCGAATTGAACTTTGAACCGTGCAGGGAAACCAAGGCGTCCTGTGTGAATCCATCGACTAAAACTGCTCCTCCATTGCTTTCATCGTAGTTCCACTCAGGTTTTATTCTGGAATAAGGTATTCCATTCCCAGAAAAATTCGATGTTTCGATTTTTAAGTCAATTGAGTTGCCATTATGGATTTTGACTGCTCTGCCTGTATTTTCTCGAAATTGTGTCGACTTGAAAGCAGTGTATCCGTTTGAAAAGCCATGAACGTCCAAGATATTTACTTCAGCCACATTGTTTTCAAAAAGTACTCTCTCCACAACGAGAGCTAAGTCAGTTCCGTTTATGCCAGCAAAAACTCGAAAGCATGCTTGACCTGAACAGTTATTATGTGACACTCTTACATCAGTAAAATTAGCTTTGATACTGCTCTGATTTCCTTGTAAGTTTTGAATAGACATGTTAAGTATGGCGTCTCCTTCACTGCGTATCTTATTGCTGACGAATATAGAATTGGAAACGTTCAAATTAACGGAAGAATTTCCATAAATTGCAACACTACTAGCACTGTTGTTTCGAAAGGTGCATCCATTTAGTTGAACATTTCTCACCACAAAGAATTCATCAAATTTCAAGGTGAGTGTAGGTACAGAGCTGTTTATAAAGCTGCAGGCGACCATGTTTAAAGAACATTGAAAGAGATAAATTGAAGTGTCAACGAAGGTGATTTCTTCTAAAAAGACTCCTCGAGAAGCCATGCCGCAAAAAAACCGAAATCCATTGGTCCTGCAGGAAATAAATGCTCGACTCTTGTAGCTGTGCAGAACTAAACCAGCTAGATCCAATCCTTTCTCGTTTTGGCACGGATAAGGGTCACGTGACGTTCCTGTGCCGTCTATATTTATTATATCACCATCACACGCATGCATAGTAACTTGCTGAATGGTTTTACATGGCGATGACGCATTAAGCCCGCAGTTATTTTTAAAGGTCCCATCGTATCTTGAGACAAACCACTGCTTGGCATGGATAGTTTCTATTAAATAAGAAAATATGAATAAATAGAGATTATGGTTTAAACTGTATTTTTTCAAGGATTTCCAGCCCAGAGAAAAGACGTAACTATACACGTCTAAAATAACGATGCCTTTTTCCTGTGTTTGATATCGCCAATCAACTGTAGACACGTCACTCGCCCTTCGCAAACTACAACCTTGCCACTTATTTTCATAAAAGAGGAAGTTTGCGAAATACTCGAAGAGCTTGAACTCCGCGAGTTGAAACCAGTGTCTATTTGAGTCAACAACAGCGATCTGCTAAGACATGTATAGTGAAACAAAACAACATCAGTGGAATGTAACGATAGGATTTTTAGTGATTTTTAGTTATCGAGTTCCTTCATGCTTACGCTCGAAAAAATACAATATTCCACGTAGAAAACTTAGTTCAGCAAAGCGTAAACGCTAACCGTAACAGTTCTCCTTCAGTCACCCGTAAACAGTTGTTGTTAGCGTTAAACTGTAACAGCCACCTGTCATGTCCTTTTGTGTAACTGTTATCCACCGGAACTCTTTAAAAGTAATTAATGTTGTAAAAGGCGAAATTCCTACTTAGCCAATAGTGTAGTAGATTACATGATCCTTTAGATTATTCATGGCATTACGTTATCCATGTACGTTAGACTTAAATAGGACTGTTGTGTAAAGCTTAAGTAGAAGAGGAAAAAGAGAAGAGAAGAGCAGGGTCGAACCAGCCCTGGCCAGGTCCGTTCTGGTCAAAATTGTAGTAGAGCTTGCAGAATAAATCTACGTTGGAGCCAACCCTGTTGTTGTTAGTCATTCTCTCAAGGGATAGTCAGCAGCCGTAATAGATTCCGGTTACCTTCCCGCAGCCGGCGAGTGCCCCCAAGGAAAGCCTTTACCCAGAAAGAGTTTTTAAGAGTTGTCCCCGTCCGTCCGTTCATTTGTGAAGGCAAAACCTGTTTTCCCCGTCCGTCCGTTCATTTGTGAAGGCAAAACCTGTTTTCACAGGAAACAAGGCCTCCTACGAGTCTTACCGCTCTTGGTAAGTTTAGCCAAACTTTATCGATGCTGTTGGATAGGGTGTCTTTGCATCAACAAGAGGCTATGTTTAAAGGCGATATATGAGGTAGATATGATTGCAAAGCACAAAGAGATTTCACATACCTCCCGAACATATTCCACTCCAAAAGAAAATCCAAAAAAACGTTGTTAGCTCCATTATGTGAGCCGGTGAGACATCAAGAGAACACCAATTAACTGTTTTCAACGGCTGCTTTTCAAAAACAAGATTCACGCGATCATGTTTTCGAGATTTTGATTCCTCATTGGAACTGATGTCACGAGACATATATGATGAATAAATTATTGATCAGTACTTAAGAGTAGCATTTTTAGTAGTAGGGGGGACAGAATATGCAAATTTGACTATAGGAGCTTGTATGAGAAAATTTACGACCGTTTTAAAGAATAGAAAATTTGTCAAATTCTCACAAAAAAGGAATATATATAACGGCGTAATATGTGACTAACACAGTCTTTATACTATAAGATTTTACGCCACTAACTCAGTCGGTAGATTTATTATAATAAATTAATATAATTCAAAATGACTAAAATGAAACACGTATGATTCCCTGTAATTCTGAGTTTCGTGCTTACGCACTCGTGAGAATCTGTCTATCAATGAACACTTACACAAGGTAAGGTGGTCAGCGTTATTCTTCTGCTTGCAACGCCCGTCGCTTGTCCGTACGGTCGGTCTGTTCGTTCGTTTTTACGTGTTCGTTCGTACGTTTTTAGTGTTCTCTTTTTCGTTTCTTCGTACAGTCGTCGATCCGTCTTTGTTCGTTTGTGATCGTCCGTGTTCTCGTTCTTCCGGTGGTTAGTTCGGCCGTTCTTTTTTTTTTTGCTCGTTTTTTTGTTGTTTTCATGCCTGATTGTACCCACCTCGAATGTTGCTGTTTGAAATGTTGCTATGAATAATGTCGCCACCCTGCGATGAAAACTGATGACGGAAAGACTGAAAACAGTCTGACAGAATATGCAAATTTGACACTTACTCAACTGTAAACAAGCCGACATCGCAACAGCTGACCATGTTCCACTCCAAAGGAAAATCTACAAAAACCATGTTAGCTCCATTATTTGAGCCGTCAAGACATCAAGAGAACACCGATCAATTGTTTTTAACGGCTGCTTTTTAAAAACAAGATTCACGCGATATTTGGAGATTTTCATTCCTCATTGGAATGTCACGAGACATAATGGGTGAATAATTATTGATCAGAACTTAAGGGTAGCATTCTTAGTCGTGGATACGCGAAACATTATGTGGAGTGCCAAAACTGCCTTGTGGTACTTTTTCTATTATATATGGTATGTATTTCGTCTTAACTGCAGAATACCCTGCCACTCGAAGTAAATTCCACGTAGCCAGTAGCTACGCGGTAACCAGAAGATAATTAATTCAAATAAGAATTACATTTATTCAACGGACAAATGAATTAAAAATGGCGCAGCAAAGTCATGTACTAATACTGCGTATCGCGTAGCCAGCCCCCTTCAGTAACGGGCTCGATGTGGCGGGTAATCTGCAGTTACTCCTGTATTTCATCGAGTTAACACCCTTATATTCGGTGCTTTTTTCATTATCATATTTGGTTCAAACACCATTATATTCGATGCTTTCTTCTTTGTGATCGGTGCTTTTGTCGTTGCCATCGTCAACAGTCTCCCGGAGAGTCCGTAGAATTTAAAGGAAGTCTAGAGAGGCCTGAAAAATAGAGAATGTCATTCCCCGTTCTGACCGTTCCGAAATGGAGGACATTTTGAGTGAGCTCCATCTAAACAGTTTAATAGCTCAATTTAGACGTGAACGGATCGTTCCTTCGGCAATTTTGGCTTTGACAGACCCCAGGCGGCCCAAGCTCCAGCTGAGAGATAATCATCTTACGAAATAACAGTCATAGCGAAACTATAAGAGCTTGTATGAGAAAATTTACGACCGTTTTAAAGAATAGAAAATTTGTCAAATTCTCTCAAAAAAGGAATATATATAACGGCGTAATATGTGACTACACAGTCTATATACTATAAGATTTTACGCCACTAACTCAGTCGGTAGATTAATTATAATAAATTAATATAATTCAAAATGACTAAAATGAAACACGCATGATTCCCTGTAATTCTGAGTTTCGTGCTTACGCACTCGTCAGAATCTGTCTGACGAGTGCGTAAGCACGAAACTCAGAGTAACAGGGAATCATGCGTGTTTCATTTAAGTCATTTTGAACTGTATTTCGCTCTACACTCATGTGTATTGAGCACTTTCCAACAGCATTTGCTACAATTTCCCACAATTAATAAATTAATATATAATTAAATTATGGAACTGGCGTAAAATCTTACATATATATATATATATATATATATATATATATATATATATATATAATAAGAAGAAACTTCGAAGAAAATAGCACTGGGACCTCCATTAGCGATGGAGCAACATCAAACAAAAGACTTTCAGCTGATGCAATCTGCTAAGAGCGAGCCCGGCTATTTAATCCTAGATCCCACTAAGATCTGCAAACGACCTGAAGTTAGTACAAAAGTCCCTTAATGACTTAGAGCAGTACACTAGAAGAGACTGTCTTGAGATCCGTGGTATTCCTCTTCCAGAGGATTCGCGGTTGGAAGATACTAACGACATTCTGCTTCAGTTAAGCCAGAAGATGGACATTCCGTTGGAAAGAAACGATATATCTGTTAGTCATCGAATTCGGAGTAGTAGGGCTTCAGTGGATCCTGCCATAATAGTAAAGTTTGTCAGACGAGAAATGAGGGAAAGTTTGTATCGGTCGAGGAAAAGGCTGAAATCTATCACCACAGCTGACCTTGGCTTCTCTGTTGATAAGAAGATCTTTATCAATGAAAGTTTAACGCCTAAGAACAAGGAACTGTTCAAAGATTGCTTAAAATTCAAGAATGACAAGAACTACAAGTTCCTGTGGACTAATGCTGGAAAGATCTTCTTGAGGAGGAATGCTGACTCTCCAGTGATACCTATCAACTCTTTTGCTGATATACCACCATCTTAAAAGATAAGTTATATCCAAACTTGCATGTTTTGTGATGGGTGTCCTGATAGAGTCCCTTATCTTGACAGCTCCAATTGTCAAACCAGCTATGCCTCATTACCTCGACTGGATATTGCTTCTCCTATTTCCAACATTGAGCACCTCACTAACTCAGATATTGACGTCCATACGCCCTTTGACTTGAATTTTTAATTATTTCAATACACATGATTTTCATGCTAATGAAGGTATTATAAATTGTCTAACTAGTAATTCACTCTCTTTTTTGAATTGTAATATCAGGAGCTTGCAGGCTAATTTTGATAACCTAGTTAATAAGTTATTTGAATTATATTTCCCTATATCTGTATTAGATGTAACAGAGACAAAGTTAAAGAATGATCAAGATGCTTTAGCAAATATTAATTTAACTGGTTATAACTTTTTGTCTCAACCCAGTGGTACTAATGCTGGGGGGGTAGGCTTCTATGTGAAGGATAATCTTGTATATGAATGATCAAGATGCTTTTAATTAGCAAATATTAATTTAACTGGTTATAACTTTTTGTCTCAACCCAGTGGTACCAATGCTGGGGGGGGGGGGGGGTAGGCTTCTATGTGAAGGATAATCTTGTATATGAATGATCAAGATGCTTTTAATTAGCAAATATTGATTTAACTGGTTATAACTTTTTGTCTCAACCCAGTGGTACTAATGCTGGGGGGGTAGGCTTATATGTGAAGGATAATCTTGTATATACTCGTCGTTCAGATATTTCCATCCAAAAGCTAAATGATTATGAATCCCCATGGATTGAAATTCAAAACAACACTGGGCGTAATACCATTTGTGATATTTTTTATAGACACCCCCATGGTAATGTTGATGCTTTTCTAAATCATATCAATATGATAGTAGAAAGTATACATCGTGAACACAAATATTGTGTTTTGCTGGGTGACTTTTAATTTAGATCTCCTTAAGTTTGAATCACATCCTGATACAGACAGTTTTCTTAGTACTCTGGGCTTATTTTATTTTCAGCCCCAAATTCTGCAGCCAACCACTCTCTCTCTTATTGACAATAAATTCTTTAATTCTCTTGAGCATTTTGTGATCAGCGGTAATTTATGTTATGATCTTACTGACCATCTACCTAATTTTCTTATTGTCAGTAAATTATCTTCTCTTCCAGCTAGCACTAAAGTTTTCAGACGAGATTATTCAAACTTAGACAGGGAAACTTTGATTAGTGATATTCAATCTATAGACTGGAATAGTTTGCTTAATAAATCTTCAGACCCCAGCAATATGTTTGATAATTTTTATATTAAGTTATCAGAGGTGGTTGATCTACATGTACCTGTCGAGCAATTATCTAAACAAGATCTCAAAGCTCGATCAAAGCCATGGATTACTTCTGGAATTAGAACCTCCATTAGAATATAAAATGGCTTATTCAAGAAATTCCTCAAGACAAAATCTATCTACTATCATACAAAATTTAAAATTTACAGGAATAAATTGAATCATTTAATTAAACTAGCTAAGAAAAATTATTATAATTATTTTTTCTCAGTTCATGAAAATAATGGTAAACAAATCTGGTATGGAATTAAAAAAATTGTTAATGTTAAAACCCACATCAATCAACCTGTCAATAAAATAGTGGAAGATAATTGTGAAATAATTGACCAAGAATCATTAGCCAATGCTTTTAATGAATTTTTTGCTAATATAGGTAGTAATCTTGCTAGCTCCATTCCTAGTGCTACTCAAACTGCTAGGGAGTTCATGTCACCTCCTATTTGTGATAGTTTGTTTTTAGCTCCAGTGACTGCAAATGAAATTGAAGTAGAAATAGGCAAACTTAATGCTAGTAAAGCTGTGGGTCCTTTCAGCATTCCTATTGATATTCTTAAGATTCTTAAGGGTGAATTATCAGGTCCTTTACAGACTATATTTAATACATCTTTTCTTACTGGAATTGTCCCTGAGAAATTTAAGGTGGCTAGAGTAATCCCAATTTTTAAGAAAGGATCTCAGACAAGCTTAAATAATTATAGACCCATTTCTCTACTCTCTGTTTTTAATAAATTGTTAGAAAAGCTTATGTACAAGCGGATAATTGACTTTCTTAACAAGAGACAACTTATTTATGGTAAACAGTTTGGATTTCGCTCTCACTACTCAACTGATCATGCAGTTCTTAGTATTATTGACCAAGTGCAATTAGCTATTGAAGACCATGATTATTCTTGTGGAATATTCCTGGACTTTAGCAAAGCTTTTGATACTGTTAATCACTAAATTCTACTCACAACACTTGACTATTATGGTATCAGAGGTGTTGTTAAGACCTGGTTTATTTCATATTTAAGTAATAGATCTCAGTTTGTTTCTCTTGGTGCTATCACTTCAGACACTCAGACAGTCTCCTGTGGTGTGCCCCAAGGGTCAGTGCTTGGACCACTTTTATTCCTAATCTATGTAAATGATTTTCGTAATTGTTCAACGCTTCTGGATTTCCATCTTTTTGCAGATGATGCAAATTTATTCTTTCAGCATAGGGATATAAAGATGCTTGAAAGTTTGATTAATTCTGAACTTGAGAAAGTTCTTACTTGGCTATGTGCAAATAAGCTTTCATTAAATATTGATAAGTCAAACTTTGTTATTTTCCATCCAATTCAAAGAAAATTGCCCAAACAGGTCATGTTATCTATAAACAATCAGATGTTGACCCAGGAAACTTCCATTAGATACCTTGGAGTTTACATAGATTACAATATTAGTTGGAAGATGCACATTACTAATATTTCTAAAAAAATCAAGAGAAGTATAGGCATTCTTTCTAAACTAAGTTATTTCTTAAGTACTAAAACACTACTTAGCCTATACTATGCTCTGGTTGAGCCTTTTCTCAACTACTGCATAATTCCTTGGGGTAATACCTATCAAACAACTTTGCAACCTTTGTTTATATTACAGAAGAAAGCCTTAAGAATAATCACCTTCTCTAGTTATAACGAACATTCAAGTCCTTTATTTAAAGATCTAAATGTTGTAAAGTTGTTTGACATCATAACCTTTCAACTTGCAGTATTTATGTACAAGTTTCATGATAATCTTTTACCTCCTGTTTTTGATCCTTGCTTTAATTCTGTTAGGATGATACATAATTATAATACCAGATTATCTAGTAAAATGTCCTATGCTATTCCAAAAGTTAGAACAAATTATGGAATTTTCAATATAAGATTTCAGGGTTCTAAAGTCTGGAATGATATAAGTGATCACATAAAGCTTCTTCCTTTGAAAAGTTTTAAGAAAAACCTTAAGCTAATCCTCATTGAAAAATACTAATAATTTCCGTAGCCTTCCGTCGTTCTTTACTCTGATTTTCACAGCGTTTTTGATCTTGTTTGTATGACCTTAAATGTGCATGTCTTTGTGTGTGTGTATGTTATGTCTGTGTGTGTTTGTTTATGTTATATCTGACCTAAATCATTGTATTAGATAAAATTAGAATCATTGTATTAGATAAAACCTGTTAGCACAACATTTTCTTTGTTGTTTCTTCCTGAAAACGGTAACTTTCCTGTTTTTGTTTGAGCTTACCCCCACAAAATAAAAACAACTTGAACAACAGAAATTCGAAAAATACCGCCATTTTGCTGCAATAGTTGCTATTCCCATTCCTTCGCGTGTGTAAATTTCTCGCACGTTAAAAGCAAGCGCACTCATTTTGCTGATGTGTCTCTATAGCCTGGTCTATGAAACTTCTCGTCATGTTCAAACAAAGCGAGGAAATAAAGGAAAAGATATTTCCTGTTAGTGAAAAGAGTAAGTAATATAAGTGAAATACGGGCAAACTGGTTTGTTTTTATTTTAGTGTAAAAGGGATCTTTACTTTCGTGATCTCTCTTCTCTCAGAGAGTAAACACTTTCGCCCGCTACGCTTGCACATGCCAACCAAATAAAAGAAACTGAATTGTCTCCTCAAAATACTTCCCGGTCAACCAACTCTCCCCAACCCTCCACCATTAAGTTAGAACGCAGTAGGGGGTGGGGTAGGGTGGGGTAACGTATTATCTAGCAGAGGCAAAGATATCTGAAATTATTTACAGGGTAAACTGACTTTAATGAGTACACAATTTATGAATACACACTTTGAGGGTACAAATTTTATTTTACCTTCACCTAATAACCTTCTTGAGGTCAATAAAAGAAAAAAGTTTAAGATTAACCTTTAGTGTCAACGGCATTCTTGCCGTAATCTTTGGACGAAACTTATCATGCGGACTTGTATGAGGTGGGAGCAAGGACCTGAGGCTTCCTCTGCCAAACACACCTGCACTACGATTTACCACTACGTTATAATTCCTAACGATTAGGGAAAAAATTGCGCCTCAACACACAGTAGTCAGTGGATTCTACAGGGCTGCAAACTTCCCTAATTCGGTACTTTAAAAATGGTATTATTTCGCAAAAAAATACAGTCAAGTCATATATATTGATTTAAGCCTGGCCCCTCGCTCTTATCAAAATTTGTAAACGGATCGATATCAGTATCTGGGCAACTGCCCACCTATCCCTCCCCTAACCCAACATTAACCCCAAATGGTTATCAGTTGACTGATAACATACCAGTAGATGATCAGGATCACGCTACTTTATTATCATGATTATATTTTTGTTTTACAAATGACCATCTTGAACGAATCGCTTTAATCAAGAGGATCCCCAAACGCAATATCTGCGAAACGAGAGACAAGGAGAGAAACAATGCAATGGCTAAAGGTAAAACACCGAGTAATACTGCCTCTGACGTCCAAAGAATGGAAATATAGGCCTGATTCATACCGCTGAAGTCACTTCCTGTACGCGTCAGGCCAACGTTTAGTACTCCTACAACGACCAAGGTTGCCAAGGAGACGGTTTCGATGATGTTGGCACGACACTGGGCGAAGGGCCTCTGGGAGATATGATGCAACAGGAAAACGAGGCAAAGGATCGTCAGACACACAGAACGCATAAGCGCATGGTCCAACTGCCACCAACCAATCACAATTATGAGGAATCGACGACCAATGAGAATGCTCTCCCAGTAGATCCTTCCGTCTGATTGGTCATCTTGTGGCTTTGTAAATGGACCGCATAGAACCTCAAGTAGTGAATGTTTGATGCTTGTGGAAGAGTTTGAGTCATGTTCCTCGTCGTGACCTGAGCTTGCAGTTGAAGGGATTGCTTGATAGTCCGGTCTCCTGGTTTTTTTTTTCTTTACGTGGTGATACAAAACAAAGAGGAGATAAGGAAAAGGTAGGATGCTGGCAAGTAAAAATATCTTTCCTGAAATCTTGCCTCTATAGAGCTGCAGCGAAGTAAAATACAACGTGAGTATAAACGGAAACAAGTTCAGGGCAATGACGACAAAAGCAGCTTGCTGCCACCATTGGTGCCAGCAAAAGTGTTGGGCATCGTAATACCAGCGGGACTTTTCCTGAATGCTTACACAGTGAAGTAATCGCACTGTTGTACCAGTCACTGCTGAGTAACCTAGCAACACTATTTCCAAGACAGCTCCAA